CTTATGCCATGCATGTACTAGCATATTCATATATTCTAGGGGTTAGGGTGTGGGCATCTTTAGGGAGGGCATTCTGCTGAAAGCTCAGGGTTTTTACGTTAATCATTTTTTATCGCTTTTTCCTGGAAGACAGTGTAACCTTTCCAAGCTGTATTTTAAGCACATTTTTCACGTATTTTATTTATCAACATTTTTTTTCTGTTTCATGTGTTGAAACCTCTACTTGAATAACCCAGCTATCCTCAATATTGGATTCTCTCTCATTTTATCTCTAAATATTACATTAAAAATTTATTTTAGAGAGGTATTGTGTACAAACAAGAGCTGTGTCAATCTAAAGTGATGAGTTTTAACAGATGGACCTGACCACAGAACCCCAGTCCCTCTCGTGATACAGAACATCTCTGTCACCCAGAAGCTTCCTTTGTAGCCCAGCCCTCCACTCACCCCTCTGATTGCTTTAAAACTTTTCTTTCTCTCTCTTAAACACTGCATTCACTTCTAAGTCTTGTTTCTGTGTCATTAATTTGACCTTCAGTCATGTTTCTTCTATTTTTTCTCTCAGTTCTGAGTTAGTTTTTAATGATGTTATGTTTCACAGTTTGTTTCTTCAGCTCTGTAGTTTTCCATTTTATTCTGTGGTTTTATCATCTTGTTCTTAAGCTCTCATATAAGTGAATTGTTGGTCTTTTTTTGTGTGTTTTGGGGCTTCCCTTGTGGTTCAGCTAAAGAATCCAACTGCAATGTGGGAGACCTGGGTTCAATCCCTGGGTTGGGAAAATCTCCTGGAGAAGGGAAAGGCTACTGACTCCGGTATTCTGGCCTGGAGAATTCCATGGACTTTATAGTCTGTGGGGTTGCAAAGAGTCAGACATGACTGAGCGACTTTCACTTTCACTGGGGTGGGGGGCAGCTAAAAATACATTCTGTTCTACTTTGCAAATGATATCATATGCCACTTAGGACAAATATTCCAAAATCAAAAGGAAGCACCAGAAAATAATTAAGTTAAAGGCATAGGTGTACTCGGTGGAGTACAGCTGTGGACACAGCTGGTAGCTATTACTTACTTGTGATTATTACAAGAAAATCTGGCACTTTCTGTGATCATACACAAATTGGTCTTCGTCATGTCCTACCTCATCTTTTTACCCAGTGTCTAAGGGAAGGGAAAGGCTGCTTGGAACAAGGACTAAAAGGTAAACAAGCCAGGATTATTGGAGGTGGTCAGCTTCAACTTTTCTAAAGGAAACTCCCATTTTCACCTTTCCAGAGGGCTCCTTGACAAATTATTCATTCAGCTTTAGGACTCATCTGAAGTTGAGAAACAGAATTAGTGGAGAAGTAAGAATGGAATTGAAATATATCTTGAACCTGTCTGCTTAATCCCTAATCCCTGCTAAATCATCTTTCATTTCTCTCTTGGTCTGATCCACTTTTGAGAAAGAGAACCCACTAGGGCATCCCCTGGGAAGACCCTCCTCTTCTGTCCTCTTGTCTCTGCTTGGAGAATCCTGAGGAGCCGGCCCACTGCACAGAGTATCTCCTCCTTCTCTGGGACTTTACTGGCAGATCCAGTTGGTCTGTGACAGCCTCTCTCCCAGGCTATGGTCTAAGGACTCCATCCTGGTTGCCCACCCACCCCCACCCCCACCAGGTATTCCAACAAGCTAGTCAAGGGAAACTGAGATAAAGGACCCCTTTGCACCATCTGATGGCAGATTTTCTGTGTGCTACTCAGAGAACTTGACGGGGGACTAACCAGAAAGCAGCTCGTGGTGGTCTTTGGCCGGGTCATCTCCAGCCCATCATCCCTTCTCCTCCAGTGGCCATCTGTGACATTCCTTTTCTTTCTGCAGAGACTTTCTGGGAGCTTGGCAACTGGACTCATTGTTCTGACACGTGTGGCCACTTGGAAGCCCAAATTCAGAGACTGCAGTGCCTGATAGCCAATGGGCAGGAAGTCAGTGAGGCCTTCTGTGACCAGCTCCAGAAGCCACAGGCTGCGTTCCAGCCCTGTAACAACCAGGACTGCCCCCACCGAGGTGTATGCAGTCACTCTTCTCTCCTTGCTACTAGCGTTTCACTTGTTTTAAAATGCACAGTAATTTGGACTGAATAATTCAACCACTAACATTTGTTTTACAAGGACTGTATGAGGTGCTCAGCTAAGTAGTTTATGTGGATCACTTCACAGTCACCTATCAAGTTGAGATATTCATTTTCTTTTTTAAAAATTAAAAGAAATTTTTTGGTTGTACTAAGCTGCGTGTGCAATCTTAATTCCCTAACTCAAACCCCCTGCGCTAGAAGCTCAGAGTCTTAACCTCTGGACCTCCAAGAATGTCTCCAGTGTTGTTCATTCTCTTTTATACAGTTGGAAAAGGTCCCCTAGGCTACACAGGTACGAGGGCCAGAATTCAAGTTGGGTTAGTCTGATTTCAGAGCTTCTGCTCTTAATTGCCACCCTCACCTGCTCCTTGCACTCACAATGGACCTTAAGAGCACAGGGAAGTGGACTTCAAGGGTTCACCTAGGAGATATGGCAGTGGGCCAGCATTACAATGTGCTTGTGGAAAGCACATTCCTTAGACTCTACCCCCAGGGTCCTGTTGTTTAGTTGCTCAATTGTGTCCGACTCTTTGTGACCCCATGGACTGTAACACGCCAGGCCTTCCTGTCTCTCACCATCTCCCCGAGTTGGCCCAAGTTCATGTTCATTGCATTGATGATGCCATCCAGATATCTCATCCTCTGATGCCCTCTTTTCCTTCTGCCCTCAATCTTTCCCAGCATCAGGGACTGTTTGAATGAGTTGTCTATTACATAAGATGACCAAAACTGGAGATTCAGCCTCAGCATCAGTCTCTCCAATGAATTTTCAGGATTGATCTCCCTCAAGATTGACTGGTTTGATCTCCTCACTGTCCAAGGGACTTTCAGGAGTCTTCTCCAGCACCACAGTTTGAAGGCATCAATTATTAGGTGTTCTGCCTTCTGTAGATCCATTTCTCACAACCGGAGGTGACCACTACGGGAGGATCATAGCCTTGACAATACAGACCATTGTCAGCAGAGTAATGTCTGTGCTTTTCAACACTGTCTAGGTTTGTCATCCCTTTCCTGCCATGAAGCAATAGTCTTCTGATTTCATGGCTGCAGTCACCATCTGCAGTGATTTTGGAACCTAAGAAGAGGAAATCTGTTACTACTTCCACCTGTTCTTCTATTTGCCATGAAGTAATGGGGCTGGATGACATGATCTTAGGGTTTTCTTTACTCTTTATTCTTTTTTTTTTTTTTGCTGACTTTAAAATGTTTATTCTTTAAAAAATTAGTTGCTTTTTATACAGCTATACAAAGTTCTTAATGTTTCTTTGGCAATGGGATATAATGGAATTTTACAACTATATAAAAAAGTTACCTTTGCCTAAGAAACAGTATTTACTGTGTATACATAGTTGACTGACAAAATTCTCTACCATCCAGCACCCTAATTAATTGACGAAATAAGCTACCTCAAAAGGGATATTACAGGATTTCCAAAAAAAAAAAGAAAGAAAAGAAAGAAAAAAGGAAAGAAAAGATATAGACAGACAGACAGACAGATACACACACACACACACACACACACACACACCCTTCTGTGGCTCAAAACACAGTATCACGGCCCTATCTGCAGGCAACTTGCAGGAATTGCCAAATACAATTTAGTGATAAGAAAAATCCTTTCAGTGATGAAAAAATACTTATAAGTTTCACTGGAGTACTGCTTTAGTTTAACTATACATAAGAAATTACTTAACCTTCTGCTATTCCAAATATAATTAATGCTCATTTTTTAAGATGAGCCTTCCCCCCCACCCCCAAAAGTAACTGCATTGTATCTCTGAAATTAAGCAGAAAAACAAACAAACAAAAACCCAGTGCTGGTGACAAATATACAGCAAATTCACTTCTTCATTCTTCTCAAAGACTGAAACCAATTCTCAGGACCACGAAGAACTAGAAATCCATCTATTTTTAAAGACTTGTTTGTAGACTATGCAGCAACTTTGTTGTCTTTCCTATACTCAAAATCTGCAAACTCCCTGCCCCCACGACCTCCTCTGAATCCACCACAAAATCCTCGAGGAGTGGTGAAGGTACCACCTCGGCCACTACCACGTCCTCGGCCACCACAGAAACCAAGACCCCCTCTGCCTCTGTACTCTCCACGGCCACGGTTTGGACGAAGCGGGATTCCAAATGTTTCTGCATTTAATCTTCTCTCTTCAGCCCAGGTTGGTCTCCGTTCTCTATTATCATCACAAGAAATATTATCAAAGAAGGATTTAGTTTTGTCATAATAGCAATTAGGTCCAAGTGGATCTTCTTCATCTGCATTTCCTTCACTGTTTTGGGTATCAACTCCTGAGTCTCCTTTATCTTCACCGTTGACAGGCTTCTCCTGTTTCTCAAGTTTATCTTCTTTCAATTTAAGTTTATTATGAAACTCTGTCAATTTCCTCCTTGTTAAATTGTGCATTTGCACTTTCAAAGTCAAAGTCTTTCTCAAATTTCACTGGACCATCTCGTCGAATACCAAATCTTCCTCTGCCACCTCGATGACCCCCACGCCCTCTCCTTGGAGCTGAAGGAGCACCTGGAACTATTTGTCTCTTGCTATCATTTCTGAGTTGCTCATTTTCTGGTCTTGAGACTTTATGTACTTCAACTCGCCTGTGCTCTTGATTCTCTATTGGTTTTTGGCTGGTAGATGGTAAAGGCCTGGTTGATACAGGGCTCCTTCTCCCAACAGGTGCTGGAGCAGGTAAGTGGGCCGAGGCGGTCTGTACTGCTTGTTCCATGGTTGGGCTTTTTCTCAAAGGGTCTAACTGAGGGCTTGAACGACCTTGAGATAGCTGTGTTTTTAGAGCGTGTATCCTGTGTAAAGGCAGAACCAACCGCACTACTTTGGGAGAGGGCACTGCTGCTTGATGCTTCTGTTCCGAAGGATGTCAAGGAGCTTCCGGCAACACCAACAGCTCCAAACTGGGCCCAACTAATGAACTTGGGCTGAACTGACTGTACGCTGGCATCCTGCCAAAAGGTCCATAGGCGCCCACTGACTGGAATGAAGAAGTAGATGAACCTAGTGAAGACTGAACAATAGCTGGGTCCTGAGGCAAAGAACATTGTGGTTTTGGTGGCTCACAAACAGTAAGGTCTTTAATATCACTCCCACGGAATATTATGTATTCAAAGACTTCATCTCGAGGTGGTATTGGACGATCTGTTGGTCTGTCTTCTGTACCAAAGGACCGAACTTTGGCGAGAGCTACGGTAGAGTTCTCGGTGTTGATAGTGTAGAGGATGCCCTCGTAGAGGATCTCCGCCTTGGAGATAAGGCTGATCTTGCTGCCGATGTAAGGGGTGCCCCCGCTCATGGCGCCGCCGCCGCCGCCGCTCCTGGCCGCTCGTAGAGAGGCAGATCCCACGCCGCTGTGGCCGCTCCGCTCGCCCACTTGCTCTGTCGGCGCCTACAGCAGCCACCTCAGACCCAACATGGCGGCGGCGCCGGCTCCGCTACCCTCCCCCAGCCTCCCGCCCTCAAGCCGCGGCGCGGCGGCGGCGGCCTTACTCTTTATTCTTAAGCCAGCTGTTTCACTCTCCATCACCCTCATCAAGAGACTCTAGTTCCTCTTCACTTTCTGCCATTAGAGTGATATCCTCACCCCCAAGAGTAAAACCTTTAATAACCTTTCACTGTCATAGATGACACAAATCAATAGTTTTAAAGGTATTCAAAATCAAGCTCATAATCTCCACTAAATCTGATTTGCCCCTAGTGTTCCAGATCACAATGACTACATCCTCAGCTGCCCACCCCCCTTTCCTCTCACTTCCTTCTGTTCCTGTCAGTTTCCCACTGTCATTGTCATTCCTCATGAACGCCTCGTCAGGAGCCTCCTGAGTTTTGTCTCCTTCCTAGAGTGCCTTCAGAATTCCCTGATAGCTCAGTTAGTAAAGAATCTGCCTGCAATGCCAGAGAACCCAGTTCGATTCCTCAGTGAGGAAGATCAGCTGGAGAAGGGTTAGGTTACCCACTCCAGCATTCTTGGGCTTCCCTTGTGGCTCAGCTGGTAAAGAATCTGCCTCCAATGCAGAGACCTGGGTTTGATCCCTGGGTTGGGAAGATCCCCTGGAGAAGGGAAAGGCTATCCACTGCAGTATTCTGGCCTGGAGAATTCCGTGGAGAGTGTCCATGGGGTCGCAAAGTGTCAGACAGGACTGAGAGACTTTCATGTAGAGTGCCTTGTTCACTCTATAAGCAGAAACATCTTTTATTTTACTTTTTTTTTTTTTTGGAGTATAGTTGCTTTAAGATGCTTCTGCTGCATAGCAAAGTGAACCAGCCCCATATATACATACATCCCCTCCTTTTTGGATTTCCTTCCCATTTAGGTCACCACAGAGCACTGAGTAGAGTTCCCTGTGCTGTGCTTTGGGGTCTCATTAGTTATTTATTTTATACATATCAGTGTATATATGTCAATTGCAATCTTCCAGTTCGTCTTCCAAGATGGCACTAGTGGCAAAGGATCTGCCTGCCAATGCAGGAGCTGAAGGGAGACGCAGGTTCAATTGCTGGGTTGAGAAGATCCTTTGGAGGAGCAAATACCAACCCACTCCAGTATTCTTGCCTGGGAAATCCCATAGACAGAAGAGCCTGGTGGGCTACAGCCCATGGGGTCGCAAAGAGTCAGACACAACTGTGCGACTGAACAACAAGGAGCACATATGTGGTTCCTTTTTCTTCCTTTTGGTTTCAATGAGTTGAAATCCAGCTTTTTGAAATTTCTACCTAATTTTGCCCTAGCTCTGCTCTCTGAGGCCACACAGATGATGGCTTTTACATCCCTGAGGATGACTTTATCCCACCCCCATGCTGTTGTCTCTACATGACAATTCTGTTGCTCGGAGTGAAAGGAAATCTGAGAAGATGGCTGGGAGTTATATGTGCTACTGCCCATTCCCAGATACATGTTTGTAGGCCCTGAAAAAATCATAGTGCTAGGATGGGCTTTCCCTTTGAAAGACAGTCCCCACAGGGTCTGACCTACTAAGCTCCTGTAGTTTTTACTCTTAGGTGGCTCACAGGCACATGGTCAGAGTGCTCTGTGTCTTGTGGTGAAGGATTCCGCAGTGGGCAAGTGACATATAAGCACACAAGAGTCACCGGAATGGTGCTGGTGTTGCCACTAAGAGTGTGCATCCCCAGAGTCAGGACTCTGACTAGTTGAACGAAGGAACTAGGTCGTGCTAACAAATGTAGTGTTTTCAAATCTTCCAGTCCCTGTAGTCAAACCCAACGCAGCAAAAAAAGGGACTTCCCCTGGCCATCCAGTGTTAAGAATTTGCCTTCCAATGCAGAGGGTGCAGGTTCCTTCCCTGATCAGGGGGCTAAGATCCCACATGCCATGAGGTCAAAACATAAACATCAAAACGTAAAACAGAAGCAATGTTCTAACAAAACCCCACCCATCAGGGCCCCTCCCTACAGGGGAGAGGAGAGCGCCCAACTCCTACAGGACATTCACACGAAACTCATCTATCTGCACAGGGAGCTGATCACACCACACACGGGCTGGTTCAGGGGACTTACTATCCTATCCTAGACCTCCTGGTCCTGATTAACACAGGCTGCAGGGATCAAAAGTTCCCCTCGGCCCTTCTAAAAATGTTCAGTATTGTCAGTGTGGGAGGAGAATACACTCTTTCTGTATTTCTGCTCTGCAGTGCAGCATTTGTCTCTCTTGAGAGTGATAGTGCTAATTCTTAGGTCATTAACTCAAGTCCTGCATGACCACACACTTCTCTAACTGGAGAGGATGTAGAACTGAGGGTGACACATCTTTCTGGAGAAATGAAGTTTATTAAAACTGTGAAGAACCAGGGAGTTGGCAAAAACTAGCCCCTCCACCACCACTTTCGAAGGGGGATTGTGGAGGGAGGGGGACGTACCCCAGGGGATAGTTCAGTCTGTGAAGTTTTACCCAGGAAGGGGGGAGGGGTGGTCAGGCCAGGGTGATCCTTCATGGTTGCCCAGGCCACTCCAGACCATCCTCCTAGCTGGCCAGGGTTTCTGAAGGCTGTGGAGGTGCTGGATTTGAAAATCATAGTCCACTTGACAGGGTCCCAGGGAGCTCGGCAGATCTGACCTTTTGTCTCCATTAGTCATCCAGGAGTCATTTCTGGGACTATTGTATTTTTATGCCTCTTGCTGGGGAACCTGCAACAGAAATGTTTTGCCATAAAATTTCATATTCTCCCAGCCAGCCCCTTCTTTTTCTGGCTGAGGCCAGAGGGAGTGGCTGGGGAGTGGGGCTGCCCAGCTTGGGAGGAGCTTCTGATGGTGTTGGCCACACTCAGGGGTCAGTTGGTTCCCTCTGAGGCTTTGCTGCAGGTGCCTCAGGTGCTTCTGGTGTCACAGGTGTCATGGGTGTTGTGGGCATCTCAGATGTCACCGGTGTTGCCGGAGCTGCTGGTGTCATGGGTGCTGCAGTGTCACGGTGTCTCGGGTGCTGCTGCTATTGCAGGTGTTGTGGGTGCTGCAGCTGTCATTGATGCCGCTTGTGGAGGGGGAGGCCCCAAGGTCTAGACTGGGGTGATGGCCCTTGCCTCTGGGCAGGGTGGGGCAGTAGTAGGCTCAGTGGTCTTCTATGGGTTGTCTCCTGCTTGGAATGGTCTCCCACAGAAATAGCCAGGCCAGTAGGAGGGTGGACACCTCAGGGCTTGCAGGCTGGAGTTCTCAGCTGCTGAAGTTCTTGGAAGAGGAGGGAGGGCCTCACAATAATGGTCTGGAATCCTACCTTGGGTCCCTTCAAGTGCAGGCTCTGGTCCCACCTTGAGCCCAGAATCATCCCCACTGTCACCCCTGAGTCCTTTTCACAGAGTGGCAGGAGTGACTCCTGGCCCATTTTAACCCATGGATGCTTCCAAATATTAGCTAAAGTACCTCTGTTGACAAACCCTACAGGGTTGAGGGTCAGCATATTTGCCAGTAAGCTTCTTATTTTGGATGATAGGTAGTGTGGGGTGCATGGTACTTCCCAATGAGCACTCTATGCCAGAGCTGCCAGAAATCTTGTCCCTGAAAGGGGAAGGACCCGGTTACCATGATTGCAGGACAACACTGAGGCTCCGCACTTCCACAGGTGGGCCCGTGTAGCTCCACCCCAGGACAAGCTCGGGGGCTGTGTAAGCAGCAGTGCCGCAGAAAGTAGCTTCTCTCTTGGCTTTTACTCACTGCTCAGACCAAAGTCTGAAATCTTCACCTCGTTCTCATCAAGGAGCAAGTTGCTCAGTGTCAGGTCCCAGTGAATGATGCCCCGACTCTTTTGCAACCTCATGGACAGGACTTTAACCCACCAGGCTCCTCTGTCTCCGTTCTCACATAACCTCTTCTCTTTGTACACACAGAAAGAGAGTTCTGTCTCTTCCACTTCTTGTAAGGACACTTCCTATGGGATTAAGGCTCCACCCTTTGGCCTCATTTAACTTGTAACCTTCTTATAGACCCTGTCTCCAAATATAGTCACATCGGTGGTTAGGACTTCAGTATATAAATTTTGAGGGGATACAGTTTGGTCCATAACCTTTTGCCTTTTGGCCCCCAAAATTCATGTCTTCCTCATGTGCAGAATACACTCACCCCATCTCAACATCCCCAGAATTCTTAAGCCATTCCAACATCAATTCCAAGTCCAAAATCTCATTAAAATGTCACCTGATCAGGTATGGGTGAGAAGTGACACACAAAATTAATCCTCACAGAACCCATAAAGAAAACTGCAACATATTGTTGAAACACATAACAGAAAAGCTGTACAAGTAAAGGCACTCTGAGTGCTATAAAGGAGCTCATTCTCTTAAATGAACTGGAACACATACTTCCAATTCAAATTGCTGTAGAATTCTTTTTCCAGAACTTCATATAATTTTGACATTCATATGTGAGAGTAAGGACAAGAGATTTTTAGAAAAACAAATCATTAGGAGTATAGACTGACTTTCCTTATCTGATGTCAAAACGTCCTACTAAGCTGTTCTAAGTAAAATGGTATGAGAGAGTCATTTCCTAGGCAGGTTGATAAGAAGTTGTCTAGGAGTCCCCAAGGAGAGAGGGGTCTGGAATTCTCAAGGAGGAAGAAAGGACAAACTTTTTTTCCTCCACATTCCTTAGGATTATATAATGTATCCTGCCTGAGGACAGTCTCTGGATTAAATCTTCTGGTTAATCCTGTTATTTTAAAATGTAAATTATGGGAGTAGGTCTTGTGAAGTCTTTACAACCTCCAGGCATTATTTGAATTCATTGGAGAGTATATAACTCCATTGCTAACACTAGCAAGCGGGTACTCTTTCTACCCCCTTCTGATGTCTA